AGGGGCACGAGGGCACTCTTGGGGTGACAGAGATGTCCGTGTCTCTTGTGGTGGAGGCTACAGACTGTGCATGACTTTGCCAACACTCATCCAGCCGCACATTCAAAAGGGTAAATGCTACGGTGTGTCAGTTATACCACATTGGAAAACATTCCTAATAAAGCAAGAGGTCTGGGATCGAGTGGCTCCTAAAAATGCTGTCTAAACCCTCGGGGTCCTCTGCACGGGACCTCCCACGGGCTATCTGGTAACTGCTGGCAGGAGGGCTGCACTTCTGCCAGTCCCAGTGTGGGCTTCGCCCCGAGTCTTCGCTGTCATCTCTCTCAACTGGCTGCACGCCCGCCCCCACCCCCGCTGCAGGCAGGGCACCAGTGAACAGCGATGGATGTGCAGTCTGCTCCGAAACTCAGCCTCTGGGGCGGAAGTCACACTGGAGTTTCCACAGCAGCTGCCACAGATCTAAGACCCACAAGTTTCTCTAGTAGGTGTCACTATTGTCAGTGGGAGCGGGTGGGAGGCAGTTAACTAATTTAATGAACAAAAGTCACAAAGAAAAAATGAGGAGCGGGAGGTGGAGGAGAGACGGCAGCTGGAGTCAGAGACTCTGGAGATCACACTCGTTTCCGTCACAGAATCTTTATTTTACACTTTGCACCACAGCAAGAGAGCCCACCCCAACACCACGCTGGTCGGAAGCCCCGCCCCCGCCACGTTTACATCAATGCCCCGGTGACCACTGGTATGAAGACAATACTGAGAACTCCCGCCGCACCCCAAGCCAACCTGGAAAGCAAATGCCCCGCACAGACGTTTCCTCCCCCAAGTGCCACCTTGCTTCTGGATTCGATGTGTCTGACCTCTTTTGGGTTCATGTGATCAGGCAAATCCAGTTTATGACGGGAAGCGCTCTAAGGCTTCAAAACCCGCCTGTGTGAACAGAACTTCTGGATCCTTTGGTTAGTAAGAACCTTAATGCTAGAAAAGCTGACCCCCCTGCCTGGGTCTGATTCGGTTCGCACTCCAAAACCTCACGCTTTGCCTCAAAAAGCAGCTTACAGTCCTAGGAGCGGGTCAGTTTTTTGTTTCATTGGGACATTCGCTGACTTTGTTGGACACCCCCCTTGCCACAGGGGCCGGGCTGCAGACCCCTGCCACCAGCACCCCAACAGGCCCCTGGCGCAGCACCACCCCATCCTTGCTTGTGCGCCTCCTGTCCCTGCCTCAGCCACTCCTCCCCACAGTGCCACTGGGGCCGTGCACGTCCCACCAGCCAGCACTGAGCCACTGAAAACCACGCCTACGTTTCAAGCGTAATCCTAGCAGAGAGGGCACAGCCGCAGCTTCAGGCTACAGAGGAACGGGGAGGGTGTTCGGCTCGCCGACCGGTAACTGCATTCCGGGTGGTGACACGCGGGAGCCCCAGCACAGGCGGGTCTCCTCCAAGGGTTCCTGCCCAAACACCGTGGAAGCCGGAGCACAGGGCAGGCCCCTGGGAACACCCGGTGTGCTCCCGAGGAACGCCTTCTGGGTCCACCAAGAGCTATCGAGTCAAAGTCTGGCCTCTTTAGTGGGGAAGCCGTTCATTTAGTGAATCTTAATGGGAAAGCACGGGCCACAGGCACCCCGGCCTCTGCCTATTCTGAACCCGTGGAAAGGCCAGGCCTGGGTCAGACAGCAGCAAAGGGGGAGGGAGGTGTGCAGGGGAAGGGGTAAGGTGGGCTACAGTCGGCCGCCTGGGAGGTTCGGCAGCAGGGCCCAAAAGCGCTCCGCTGCTCTGCAGGGTGTGAGGAGCAGAGCCAGCAACCTCCGCAGACCGTCTGGTGGCCTCCGGCCGTCCTCAACCACACGCGTCAGGACGGGGGAAAGGGCCAGACGCCACTTGCCATTCAAATCGGCCTCTTCCACACTCTTCCTTGGTCTGAAAGGACTGGCTCCTTGTAGAAGGCTGTTTCAGGTACCCAAACAAAACAGTTTCACGCAGAGAGAACAGAACACCCTACCTGGTCCAAAGCAGGGGCACACACGTTAGTTGGTGGACGCCCTCCTGCTCAGGCTCTCCTTAGCCTAGAAAACACACACTTCGCAGAGCTGCTGGGAACCTGCTGCTACGCGCCGACGCCTTCAGCCTGTATCCCAGGACTGAGCCGCATGGAATCAACGGGGCAGGGCGGCGGGTGGTGTGAAGGGGGGGGCAGGTTGTGGGATCAGAGAGTGGCGATCCCAAGACTCGAGGTGGGGTCCCTGCTGTGACCTCACACAACGAGCACTCCTGATGTGACCGCGCTGCCCTGGCTGCTGGACACACCCGGGCAGGGACAACCCTGAAGTTCTACTCTGCAGTGGGTTCCTGAAAGAAAACCGAACTGGCTCAGGCCGCGACCTGAGACATCGCCCTCCGCACTGGAACAAGCTTCCCCTCCTGGCAGAACAGGCCACCAGCGCACCAGCGTCCCGTTCAGCGGTGCAGACCAAATGCGTGCACTGAAAGGCGCTACAATTTTAAAGCCAGGGGTGGGGCGAGAACCAAGCTGATAGAGTCTCGGGCCACTGCTGAGAGCCAGGATTGAGAGATCAATGATTGTTCTTGTGACCTAAGAAGTCATTCCTTACAAAGGACACACACTTTACAAACAGGAAACAAGGCCTCCACTTCCTGATCTTGCAGCCGGCAGCGTCTCCAGTACCTGGCAGGTTCCTCAGAGGGAGCCTGGACACTCTGCGTGGGCAGGAGCAGGGAGTCGGAGCACAAAGCGGAGCTATAAATACCGAGGGCGCTGGGATGTGCACGCACCCGTCCTTCCGGCCCAACCTGAGGTCCTGGGGGAGCTTCACCGTCTCAACGCTGCAGCGCACCGAGCCCGTGGGGACTGAACCTGGGCCCTTGGAAAGGGGCTGTGAGCTGGGGGGACTACTGCACTTTGGACCCCTGTCCATCACTTTGACTCAAGAGCAGAGCTCAGTGCTGGTCACAACTGTGAAGTGATGGAGAAAGAGAAGAAAGTTTTACAGAACAGGACAGAGAACGTAAGTAATTCCATAAAAACTCAACTACCACCTGTGTTCCCAACAATGGACTAGGTTTAGAATTTTCCGAATCATCAGCCTGATTTCAGACCTCCCGCGTTACACGCAGGACATGGCGGACGAGCTGCCCGGTGGGAAGGCTGTGGCTGGCCTGCCTCCAAACCACTGTGACGCTCCCTCTGTGCCTTCTGGTCCAGAGGGCTCAGGACCGTGAAGGTGCAGCCACTCGGGGGCTGTGTGGGCTCGCCACGCACACGGCCTCATCTGCTCCATCACGTACTGGGTCCCTTGCTTCTGGCACGTGACATGAGGACATCTCTGAGGAGACCCTTTCCAGGAGAGAGGTTTCATCACTCCGTTTCTTGCCAAGAAATCCACGGCCGAGTCCAGACCGCATGCTTGCGGGAGAGACAGAGAACGTGTCCGCAGAGGGAAGCACCCTAAGGGGGTCGGGGCAGGGGTCTGGCCACAGCCCGAGACACACTCCTGCAGGGCTGGCACTGTTCGGACACGGGGAGTCATGCTTTAAAGACTCCTGTCCTCCCTGTCACAGAGCTCCATCCAAAAAGAGAAGAAGAAGAAGGTCCCTCAAATTGATACTGTGGGTGCACTTCCCTGGTCCCAAAGACAGGAAGACACGCGACCCCTCCCTGGGACACCTGCAGAGCGGCGGCAGCGGCAGCCGAAAGACGCTGCCGCTACTGCACGTGTTGCCGGGACCAGGCCTCTGTGAAGGTCGGGCTGGGCAGGCCAGAGGGCCACTCTGGAGCTCAGAAGGCACACCCGCTTCCCCACACGCTGGTGTGGAGTGAGGCCCACACAGGAGACGAAAGGACTGGTTTGGAGGGGAGACTTCAGGTTCCCAAATCTGGGATAGTGAATGCCACCCCCAACTCCTGCGGTTTCTGACTGACCCAAGCTGGAGACAAGAAAGTCACCACCAGAGACTGTCACTGTCTACCCCCCAGGAGGCTTGACACACGTGGGCACTGGAAGGACCCAAGCAGCCGGCACCCCGAGCGTGAGGGAGCTTCCCAACGGGCCGTGTAGGGATGTCCTATCTCAGGCCCTGGTGACCTAACCCTCTGGAACACGATCACAAAGCCCCCTGGGCCCGCCCCACGCTGCAGCTGACCTCGCACCATGGCTTGCGCTTGGCCCCAGGCCTGGGAGCTCGGAGAACCCCGAGTCCCCTAGAGAGGCTTCCCCCCATGCCCGAGGGGGAGGCTCTGACCACACCCACCTCCCCCAAACATCCCCGGGGTGCGGGCAGGGGCCGTCTCCATTCACTTCCTGCTCGGAAACCCTCTCCGCGCACAGGACAAGCTGCTTCCACACCCCTTTCTGACCCTGGCCTCGCTGGAAGGAAAGTGCCTCCCACGGCTCCACACGTTCTGACCACACGAAGCCGACATGAGCCGTGGGGAGAGGGAGATGAGAGACGGCGCTGCTCTGGGGTGAGCGAGGGAACCTACGGCGCTTCTGAGCTAGAAGTATGCTTCTGTCCCTCCTTCAGACAACAGAGGACCTTTTGGTCAAGACTGCCACCTTCCACCAGTGGGGCTGGGCCGTGTCCCAGGGCTGGGACCCCAACGGGGACAGGACAGCGCGCAGACACAAGCTCTTCCTGAGAGAAGGGCCACCAGGCACCCAGAGCTGCTGGCCACTTTCGGAATCCGGGACAAAGGTGTGAGGCCACGTTCAGGGGCAGGAGACTGGGGCAGGCTGGACATACTACACTGGGTTTTGAGTGGGCTGTCTAAACCTAACTATGTCCACTTTTGTCCCTAAAGCAGCAGCGACCCTCTCCCTCTGGGCTCCCGTGCGCCCCCACGCCGTGACCGGCAGACACAGGCCTTGCCCTCCTCCCCACCGGCCGCCACTCCTTTGCACGTTACATAAGTCGGGGGCGGAGGGGAGGCACACCGCATACACCCTAAGAGCTTCCCATTTAAAAATATATGTATGTATATATATAAAAAATCAAAACAAAGTCTTCCTTTTATTCTCCTCTTGGCTACACTCCCTCCCCACCGTCCCACCTGAAGGAGAATTCCAGCTGCCTATGACCAGCCGCAGAACCAGTTTCTGCCAAAGAGAGTAAAAAATCAGGTTTCCTGGCACTCTGCTCCCAGCCACGTGCTCTGTGGGGTCACTGCTGGGAGGGCCGCTGCCCCCGCCCCCGCCAGCAGCACTGTCAATAAGTCAAGCGCCGTCGCTGACGGGCCGCCTCACAGGAGCTCCGTCACGCGGTGCCTTCCCAGTCGCCCTGGGGCTCCACTGAGCCGTTGGTCACCTTCTTGACTTTCTTCATGTTCTCCATCACCCCGGACGTTGTCACGCTGCACGAGAAAAAAGCCAGGAGAAACGTGTCAGTAGCACAGCAAGCCGGTCGTCACCGCGGCGCAGTCCTTGGGGTGGTGCGGGGAGCTGGCTCTGGCACCAGAGTGCAGTGGGCCCACCCCGCCCCTGGCCGGCCGGCTGCGCGACCTCCACCACGCCATCTGAGCTCTCCGGAACAGTCATGGGGGGAAAACGAGACTCCCCAAAGTGCCAGGTCAATACTCCCCGGCTGTGACTGCTGCAGTCACACTGATCTCTGCAGTGGCCTCCACGAATCTCTATGTTGCCGGTATGTACTCTACCTACGAGTATAAGACCGCTACGTGTACGTACACCACCTCAGAAAAGGCTGATCCACTGCAAACGTTACCGTAGCCTGCCAAGGGGGGGCGTTTCTGAGTCACGGGACAGAGCCATGGGTGTGAGGGACCTTCTGGGCCCAGACTCTGCCACCACTAGAGATGCTTTCTGCAAGTCCAGGCCAGGCAGTACGGCTGTCAGGGAGCAGGCGGCTCTGCCTCTCCTCTGTGCCTCCCCAGGCAGGGGCATTACTCTGTCTGTCCCTGGCACCACCTACGTGCTGTCCCACTGTCTCCACGGCAGACGTGGGGGTTCCCGAAGGCAGGGCTTCTGCTCCACTGGAGCCCCACAACCGCCCAGGGGGCACACGGCCGACCCAGCACCCGTTCCAGTAGAAGTGGTCCTGCCTCCAGCAGGGCACTGGCCTCAAGAACCGGCAGCATGGGAGCTGGGCCACGGCCGGGGACCCTGGACCTACGCCAGGCAGACACGCTCCCTGTGGGGTCAGTACAGGCGCGTCGGCAGAGGGCGGACGGGAAGGTGGAGCAGAGATGCTGGGGAGGGAGCGGGGAGCGGGACAGAGACGAAGAGAGAACGTGGACCGGGCTGCCTCCAGCCTGCCTTCTCCACTTCCACAGGGAGCCCTCTTTTCCCGGCAAAGTCCCGAGTCCTGTGCTTGGACCCTGAAGGCCTCATGCACGTCGGCAAGAGGGGGACGGGGCTTCAGACACCCGCTGCTGCCGCTCCACACCTGTCACAACCACACGTAGCTTGGGCCTAAGTGGCCCACAGACACACCTACTTCTTTACTCAAACTAAACCAGAAACTAAAGCCAGACTAAACACTGTTTCCTGGACTGGGGGTGGCCTGGTCCGAGACACTGCCATGAGTCTCCGGTTCTCCCCCGCCCACTGCTGAGTCTGGCCCACTCGGAAGAACACTGGAAGTAGTCCGAGGTGGCCAGCAGCCTTTGAGGACAGCACTCTGGGGTGAAACCCAGAGACAAGGCCCGGCTCTGGAGCCCACTGCAAACGTGTCTTCCTGCCCTCACTTCTCCGACGGGAGTAACTCAGACCACCCAGGACACACAGCCGACAAGGCAGCTGTGGGTCTGAGCACTGAAACTGCAGCCAGTACTTCTGAACACGCTGAATTTTTTTATGATAAATTTTGTTACCAAAATTGGTCCGAAGAGACATGTTGAAAGAAAGATGGAGAAAAAAAGACAGCAAGTCAGTGTTACCTCTGCATGCGCCCTCAACCGCAGGGGGCCCCACCCCCTGGGGCAAGACTCACTCCCACAGCTCGGCTGCAGATGAAGGAGGTGCGGGCAGGCCCAAGACACGCTACCCAGAATCCCCGGCAGCAGGACGCAGCAGGAAGACTGGCTTTGCTCTGGGGGATAGGCGTGAGGAATTCCACTTGTTCTGGGACGTGGGTCCGATCTAGCACCCTCCCTCAGGAAACCCCCTCCGGTGTGGGTGACAGGTAGCTCAGCACCTTCTCGGACACCCGGGCAAGGGTCCTGCTTGCCTCTGGTGGGGTCGCTGGCAGAGGATTTAAGGGGTGCCACCCAGCAACAGCCAGCCCAAGTGGAAAAGGGAGAGGACAGCCCGGGGCTCAGAGGGGCCCTGAGCAGCCTCACCCATTGCTGAACGGAACTTTCTCATCAGTGGAGTTCTCAGGCCAAGAGAAACACCAGAACAACTTCCTTCCTTGTCTATGTAAAAGCACGTAACCTCACCCAGCTCCTTGCCTTCTCTGTGCAGGCTAACCTGGGACAGCGCCCTCCAGGAGCACCGCCACCCCGAATAAAACAGCCATTGGGCTTGTCCCCTTCCCAGGCAGTGACGCACGCAGCCTTTCTGCCACCAGAGAGCACCCACTTCGCTATCACAGCGGGCTCCCACGAAGCCACTGAAAGCAGTACCATCAGAGCACTCTCGCCCTGCACAGGGGTGTGACCGAGGCAGCTCGAGGGCCCTGCGGAGTGAAGAGCACCCTCTGGTCCCCACTGGACAGGTGGTCTGCCTGCTGCCCCCTCTCCCTTTCCACCTCTGACTCACCAACAGATCCTTCGGCTAAAAGGGTTACTGATGTCACCAGGTACTGTCAGAGAGGCACAAACCAAAACAAAACACTGCCCAGAGAGGACATCACCTCCACGTGCATCCACACCTGCAGAAGCAGCGGCTGACAGACTGGATGTGGGGACAGCCACCCCCACGAGACCGGGCGGACTGCCACCTGGCACAGCCTCTGTGGAGCACACCTCAGCCAGTGGACGGCACTGTGACGCGGCCATTCGGCCCCTCGCCGTCCGCCCCAGGGACACCCCGCCATCACGTGTGGGGGGTGTGCTGGAGGCCCCAGCAGGGACAGAGACGCCAGACGGCAGGCTCCTTCTGGACGCTGCTTCTCCCCAGACTGACGCTCGTTTGTGCCTCTTCAACCCTTGGTCACTTGCTCAGACCCTGGACCTCCCAGAAAAGGCACACCTGACGACTCTCCCACCTGCCCTCCTCGACCTGTGAAAAGGCACCTCCTCCTCTGCACAGCACGGAGCTATCTGGGGACCAGCAGCAGGGTCGGCCTTCTGTTTACCGTTCTCACGGTGAAGCTGAGCAGAGAGCCGGCCTGGCTGCCCAACCTGCCGGACGGCTCAGCGGGGCCCAGTGGGGCCCAACAGGGCCCGGGCTCAACCTTCCCATCGGGAAAAATCAGAAGGCTGCCTCACCGGAGGTAATGCACCTGAAACTCAGCCTCAGCCTAATCAGCAAAACCAGCTGACCCAGCCCATCACAGTGTATCCGTTAGCAAGCAAGACAGTCTGATTCTTCATCACTGTTCGCTTCTCTGGAAAATGATCGGCCTTCCCCAGCAAACAGGACCCCAGAGTCCCTCACCCCGTGACTCAGAGAGGCCCGTCTTCACGCTCAGATTTAGGGTGAGGCACTGTGCTAGCTGTGAGGAGCCACTTAGCCATCTGATGATGGAGGGCATTTGACCCTGACTGCAGACACAGAGGAATCGGACGAACAGGTATCAACACAGGCTCCCAATGGCAGGGCCCAATGGGAAGAGGGCTGGTCTGACCTCCATAGTCGTGAATGGGCCCGGAACATCGCCAGGCTCCTGCCTCCGAGGCAGGGATAGAGGACCGCTCCCTGCTAGAACAGAGGCCCTGCCCCCGCAACAGCAGCACACGGAGAGACCACCACGACTCACACCGCGCTGCTCTTCGGTAAGTAAAGGGGCCGAGGACAGAAAGGAGGTTTCTTACACAGATTCCATTTCCAAGTCGTCTTCTTCCTGAGAAAGCTGCAGGTAGGGGTTATCTGATGCTGGGCGGAACTTATACCCGGTGAGGACGAAGAACACCAGCGTGGCCATTTCATCCAGGAGCTGTGGACAGAAAACACCCCAATGAGCAACACTCTTCTTCCAAGGGCAGTGGAAGCAACAAGTGGAATAAGTACTCCTGCCCCGGCCACCCGCACTCCACGGTCACTCCTCAAACTCCGGAGCTGACTGCTGGAGAGCACTAGGCCTAGAGGTGTGCAGGAGCCCCTGCCGGGGGAGGGGCCTTGCCCCAGAGGCGACATCTGAGACCCCCTGCTTTGACTGGAGTCTTCACACTGTCCCTGAAGGGTCACGACACACCCGAGCTTCCTGCATGGCTGGAGCTCCAGGTGTGCACTGTAGGGAAAAGTCTCCGCCTCCCTGACGGCGCCCCGGCCGTGAGCCCAGTCCCAGCACACTGCAGAGATGCTCGGTCCCTGCGGCAACAGTGACGGGCACAGAAGGGCAGTCCGGACTCGGCTTGCAGCTGCTCTCAGCCCTGTGCCGACGGGGAAGACCCGTCCGGTCTGGGTTTTAATTGCACAGGGTAAGCCTTCCTCTCTCTGCCCAAGACTTTCCTCTTCAAACGCTTTCCAAATCGAACACCAGAATCAGTGACGCAATCACTTCCAGATTTCGCAGGCCATCCAGCAGCTTTCCTGGACAGAGAATCGTAACCGCAGGCCAGAAGAGGCTGGAGGCCCGCCTGGCAGCCGCCAGGTAAACTGTGCCGGCCTCGAGTCACACCCGACACAGCCCTCTGGCACTGCCCCCCGTGGGCACGCACCTGGTAGAGCCACTTCCACTGGAACGGGACAGCAAATTTGAGGAAAAATGCGATGATCCTGGTGAAGTATATGTAACACACAATCTACATGAAGGAGAGAGAAGCGAGAAAAAAGTCAACACCAAGACTTGGCACCACTTTCTCCCAATAACTTGCTTTCAAATTAACCAAAGAAAATTAGTTGACACTTACAGTGCTAACAATACACCTGACAGAGAGACGGCTTCTCTGCGAGCCACACATTAAAGGATTTCTCCTTGCTCTCTAGGTGACCAAAATATTGGTGACAGCCACACCCATGGAGGGATGAAGCATTTTGGCGCGGCTGCTCTGAACTCCTGAGTGACCTCCCTTGCCCTGTCCACACACATAACCCACTGATTTCAATCCCTAAAGGACACTATTTTTTTAACTCCCAGGCTTAGAGGAACGTTTTCTCGTAGCAACGTCGAAGTACAGCCACACAGGGAGAACACTGACTCTTCACGCCCTCGGCAGATGCAGGGACATTCGCGGTCTGCTCAGAGGGAGCACCAGTGACACTGGGGACCTAACAAGGCAGTGCACGCTGAGGACCTGGCAGGCTGGCCACTCGAGTGTGGCCTGCTTGCTGGGACCATGCCCGGGGGGCCAGACTCCCAGGAAAAAATGTCCGCGTGAAAGTCAAGCTCAAAAGCACAGATGGAAGATGACCCAGAAACTCTAGAAGACCCACACACTAAATATTCAAAGAAACTATGTGTTTAATAATTTTTAATAAGTCCTGTCTTTGGTGCTTAATGCTTGTATGACCTTTTCATGTTCATACCAGTCCTGTTTTAAGGTGTGACCCCATTTTTATAAATGAATTTTATTATTTTCAAAGTATTTTATTTATTTTTAGCGCAAAGAGAAGGGAGGAAGAGAAAGATCAATGGTTGCCTCTCACACGCCCCCTACTGGGGATCTGGCCTGCAACCCAGCCATGTGCCTGACTGGGAATCAAACTGGAGACCCTTTGGTTCACAGGGTCTCCCTCAATCCACTGAGGTACATCAGCCAGGGCTGTAAATGAATTTTTTTTTTAAAAAGCTGTGAATTGGCCCTGGCTGGTGTAGCTCAGTGGATTGAGTGCGGGACTGTGAACCAGAGAATTGCGGTTCGATTCCCAGTCAGGGCACATGCCTGGGTTGCAGGCCAGTTCCCAGCAGGGGACCCAGAAGAGGCAACCATACATTGATATTTTCCCTCTCTCCTTCCCTTCCCCTCTAAAGATAAATAAAATCTTAAAAAAAAAGCTGTGAATGAATTTTTTAAAAAGCGAGTCGAGGAGCATCTGGGCTGGAAGACCCCGAGAAACCAGCAGCCAACTGCTGGCAGTGGAGACGGAGGGCAGGAGGGGGAAGGGCGGGAGGAGGAGGAGGGCCGGGCCCTGAGGGCTCCCCGAGTTCCTGCAGCGCCGCTTTCGAAACCCATCAAGCAGGCACTGCTTTCTGAGGATGGAAAGGCAAATTTAAAGCGAGCTGTGAAAAGGAGCCCTTCCCACACCGAACCCCCCCACCCAAGGCACAGTCTGGCTCCGAGGAGGGGCCCACGCAGTCCCGGGGTGCCTCTCTCCACTCTCACCAACCCTTCAGAAGCCTGAGGGCCCCACCCCTCATTGCAGACTCAGGGCTGCTTTACTCACCAAGACGTAATAATGTCTGAAAAGTTTCAGCTTGGCTAAGTTAACAGCAGCTAGGGAGAAGAAAGGACAGGATAAGGGCTCATTAACTCCTGGCGGTGTGGAAGCACGTGGCGTCCGGCACCTCCAGTCAGGGGCCAAGTCTGATGTGTGGGCACTGCCCAGGGCACATCTGCATTTGGGAACTGCACCCCCGGCAGAAGGGCCCCCAATCACCAGGAAGAGTCAGGGGCTGGGGTGCGGCAGGGTGGGGTTCCAGGTCACAGGCAAACCCACAAAGCTCCTCCGCGCTGGGGTCAAGTGGTTTCCCACTGGCCACGCAGGAGCACGGTGACACCACGGACACCAGCAGTCGCTACATGTCAGGACTGTCCTGCCCTTCAAAAGCACCGTGAAACGTGTCAGCCTCTGGCTGACATGGCTGTGCTCCCCACTAGGACCGGTCTCAGGTGCGTCTCTGAGTCCCACCGGGGAGACCTCCCCCTCGTTCAGGGCGCAGGTTCCGTGAACACGGGTGCATCCTGCAAATTCAGATTTCACTTCGGTTTTCATGACAAGCCCTTTACATACAACCTCCCTGGCTCTGTCACGGCTGTTCAAGGTCAGGAGTCTACGGTCATGAAATATTGATGACCACAGAGGGTAGCCTGGCTCCCTCCCCAATTAGCAATCCTTTCATTCATCATAAACCTTCCCGCAGGAGGCAAATTAATTTCGCTTAATAGCATTCAATTGCTGGCTCCACTTAGGAATGGGCCTGTGGGTGGGCGGGGGAGGTCAGACCACTGCTTCCTCCGCTGCCTCAGGGTCAGCGCGGGACAAGCCAGCTTAGGGCTCCAAAGGAAACTCCTTGAACCCTAAATAACTTCAAGATGATCACCAACCAACAGTATCTGTCTGGATCTCTTCTGAGAAACCAAACGCATGGGTGAGGAGGCCAGCAAACCTTCCCAGGAAATCCAGCTCCCCAGACGCAGAGGCTGGTGTGCCCGCATCTAGACTGCAGGGGCCACGTGTCCGTCTGCACACACCTGAAGCAGCTCAACTGGAGCGCGCAGACCAGCAAAGGCCATCTGACGCACAGGGTTTCGTGCAGACCTGTGACTTTTAAAGTTAAATCACTCTGGTTCTCAGCCACTTTTCACTCACTCTGACGCTGGGCCAGGCCCCAGGTGCAGCAGGGACCAAGGCAGCCGTGGCCTTTGCCCCAGTGAGGCTGCCGTTCCTCAGGAAGGCCGCCCGACCCTGAGCTGCACACCACTTACTGTAACACCAAGTGTATGCAGGGTGCCTGGTGGGCACATGACCCGAACAGGCGTCCCTCCTTGTCTAAGGGTGGGAGGGGGACGCTGAGGATGAGGCACTGAAGCCAAGAACTGTGGGCTGAGTTTCCAGGGTTTTAAAGCTTCACTCACGTGTTCATGTGTGGCTCCTGCCCCAAGTGGCAATGGCCGACGGAACAGCTGCTGACACCATGCTTTGCCCACACATGCAGCCAGCCTTGGGGACCACGGTCCCCCGCAACAAGCAAAATGGTCCTTAAACAGGAATACTCAACTGTCCTCTTTGTGAAGGACTGAGAAAAACAGCAGTAACAACTGAACCATTTACAAAACTGCTTTAGGTCTTTTCTGCATTTTGCTTGTCCAAATAAATCCTGACTAATGAAACGCCTGCCCTTGAAGGTTCGCCAAGACCCGTCCGCCCGACAGAGAGGTGTCACGTTTTCACTCCCTGATTTCAAGGCGCCCTAAGGAGACACAGAGGGCTGCAAGGCGGAGCACGAGACACTCCCCACCCAGCCTGGGCCACAGGGCAGAGGGGGGGCTCCCAGAGGAGGCGGTGCCTGAGCATAGGCCTGAGTGCGGCTCAGGAGGGGGCACGAATGGGGAGACCAAGTGGAGAGAATGTTCGGGAGGAGCAGGTGCGGGTTCAGACGCGAGCCGGCATCACGCACCAAGGACAAGAGCAGCTCAGTGGGGCTGGACCGTGGAGAGGCTGGAGAGGCCAGGGAGCGGGTTAGGCTGAGAGGAAGGTGGAAAGCCAGGTCAGTTGGCTACCCTGCTGCCGTCACGGGCCCCAGAGAGTCCCGAAGAGCCCAAAGCAGGGGGCGCCACGATCACACCTGCGTTTCAGAGCCACCTCTCTGCAGAGAGGAGGAAGGAAGCAATGTAAGAACCCAACTGAGGTCGAAACCCTCAGACGTGCGGAGGCCGCTCTAAAAAGGGGAGGGGTGGCTCTTCTCAGAGGAAGGGGCAGTGAGTGAGGCTGGCCCTGCCCTGCTGGTTGGCTGGGTTGATGGAGGGACAAGGCAATGAAGCTGCGACCAGAAAGAATTCTTTAAGGGAAGCCTGATGGGTCCCCTGCAGGTCACAGGGCAGGAAAGCAGGGGTGGGAAGGGGAGGGTGACTGAGAGAAAGTAGAGGGGTTCTGACCACGTGAGCAGTAGGAGGGAGGGAGGGAGGGAGGGAGGGAGGGAGCGGAAGGCACTGTCCTAACATCTCCCTGGTGTCACTCGCACCACCACGTCACCTCCAGGCCGACTGTGAGACACTGCAGTGGGGCAGGCCATGCCCCCGAGATGGGCCTGCACACCCACACCCGGTACCCACGACGAACTGTCAGCACGGGCAGCGATGCCATGCCCCCCAGGACGAGAGCCAGGACTGACAAATGGACCTTGGGAACGACCAGTGTTGACTCTAAGACCTGCGGCCACAGCAGAGTGGAGCTCACGGCTGTTCCCAAACCCACCAGAGGAGACAGACGACACGCCCAGTCACATGTAGGACATCTGTTCATGAGGCTGTGGGCCTCGGGATCAGTCGTGGGCGGGGCAGCAAGGGAGCCCACTTACTGCAGCGAGCAGCAGGGGTGAGGGTGCAGGCCCGTGCACCTGCACACCCTGGGCTCCAGCTCCCCCTGCGGGCTTCCTGGCTGTGTGACCTCAGCCAAGTCTCCTAGCCTGAGTCTCATTTTCGTTGTCTGTACAATGGGAATAACAGTGCCTACTGCTGGGGGGCTGGGGAGCCCAGGGTAAGCACCTGACGACCAGCTGATGTTACAGTATCAGTACTATGTTGGGGTTACCTTGTATTAACCTAAACCGAACGGGGTCCACATTGTGTTCGGCGCTGCCACCTCTGGAAGAAATCCCGGCTCTAGTGAGTGAGCTGGAACAAGTGGTGACCGGGGACTGCCAGAGCGCCCGGGCTCTCCGGGACGCAGGGCCGCCGCACAAGCGAGACAGGTGAGTCAGCCTGCAGCCCAGCATCCAAATCGTCCCCGTTTCCTTCCAAAAAAGCTTTCCCTAAGTTCAGAGCACTGGCAGGCTGGTGTCCACCGGGCCACGGCGGGGCTGGGCCCCGAGCAGTCAGAGGCCCTCGGGGGCTTGGCTGGGTCCTTCCGACCCCGCCACGAGGAACAGCGAACGTGGTAAGAGGATGAGCATGGGAGGGGAAAGTGCCCGGGGCAGGAGCCAGCGGACCCCAGTCCCCATCCCTGTGCGGCCACAGCCCAGGCTCGGGGCCTGGCTGGGTGATCCTCCCGGGGGTCGGTGTCCTGGGGTGGGGGGTTTCTCCCTGGCGATGGCTGGCTCTTCCCCGGGGAAAACTTCCTCTAGCAGGACGCCTGGGCCACCCCAGTCCCGAGAATTCTGGACAGCCTCCTGGGAGGTGGGGAAGGAGAGCGCCGACACCTGCTTCAGGAGCCCCGAGGGCTCCTGTGAGGGCTCCCTCCTCCTCCCACTCACTCTCAAAACCATGGCCAGGACTCTGGATTTTGGCAAGTGCTTCTTACTGACAGGAACGGAACTCCATGTCCTCTGAAAGGAAGCATATTCTGCCCTGTGTGGGCACACACCAAGGCAGAAAGTGCCCACCCTTTCAAACGCTTCACAAGTCAGTCCTCCCTCAGACCCAGCAGTGAGAGAGCAAAGGCACCCCCCCCCACAGAAGGTGCCAGCCTGTCCGTCCCCCCCACCTCCCCAGCACCCCTCCCCGACGGTCCAGGAACCATGGCAACGCGAGTAACTGCCACACAGGTCCTTGCCCCCTACTGAGCGCCAAGCACATGCCAGGCACTGGCTGGCCACCATCCACGCTGCATCCGTGAGCCACACAACGGCCTCTCCGAGGGCGGGTGTCACTACCTGCGCCTCACAGTGACGACAGGCTCAGGCCTGCAGAAGTTCAGTACACGACCAAGGTCACAGATCTCACAAATGGAGAAGCTGGCACTCAGACCCAGTCCAGGTCCCTCCAACGACTGGCTCTCCACACCTCCACTCTGCGCTGAGAAAGGCAGTTCACGCACGGCTTTGTGATCCAGTAGCAGCACAGGGAGATGGGACCATGGCTCAGAACGCCAGGCACCGCCCAGGAGGTGCCAGCACTCTAGTCAATCCTCTGTGATTTATGGGGCACACAGAACAAAGACCCACGGCTGCCATTGCAAGGGTAAAAAATTTCCAGAACAACCCTCCTGTGGTGTAAGAAAAACCCCGAGGCTCAGAAATATCCCTACCCACCCATCACCCTTTCTCCCCGCCATGCTGTGGAGGGACTGCTGGGTCAAACATGGACGTAGAGGGGACAAGGATGACGGCCACCTCCAAACAGCACCAGCCGCCCCAACTCAGCCTCAACCTTAGGGCTTCCAGTTCGTGGAAGCTCCAGGCTGGAGCGCACGCATGTAAGCGGGCTGCACACCTCCCTGTAAGAAAAATACCTTAAGTAAGTAATAAAAAGCATCAAAGAGGCATAATATTCACTATTTCATCAAGGCTACTGTTGAAACGAGCCCTTTCCACGCCCTGCAAGCAGGCGACAATGAGGAGCCCAGTGCTGCTCACGTACCTGGGCGCCTCTGCCCGGAGCCAGGCTAAGGCGCCAGCTGGCTCACTCACCTCCACTTTGGCACCGTCGGCACCAACGCCAACAGTGAAGAAGGCTGGTGAGGCTTTCCTAAGAAAACGGCTCTGACCGGCCGCCATGCCAATGAGCACTCATGGCCACGGCCACGGCCACAGCCACAACCACTTGGAAGCGAGCCACTCCTCCACATGCCCTTCCACCAGCCCATTGCTGTTTGCTCAGGTGCTTTTGAAGCCCTCTCACACGAAGGGTAAAACTCCTCAGAATACAACCTTTCAATTCTGCTCAGAAACACGGGGAGAAAAGGCAATCGGGAGCAGAAACAGCGAACCAAGTGCGCAGTGGACACTGCCACACTGTCCTCCCAGGCAGTGACCCCAAGGGAGGTGCAGACAGGGACATGGGCTCCAGAGTGGTCTGGGGGGTAATCCCCGACAGGCATGTCTGCACTGATGCTCCCTCGTGGAGGGCACAGCATGGCAGCACTCTAAGTGACAGGACCTGACGGATGCCAGCGAGTGCCAAAACAGACCAGGGCAGCACAGGAGCCGTGGGCAGCCTCGTCCTCGATGCCTCCCTCAGGTTCGTCAGAAGGACCCCCGGCAGCCAAGCGTGGCCCGGGCACATGTTGTCGCCCCTGCCTGCAGCTAGTTGGCCGGACTGCACTGATGCTGAGTCTTAAGCCCAGGTCAGTGTCAGTCATGCAATGAGTTAGTGGAATAAGGAGCCTGTGAGCAGATTCCGTGCAGCAAACTGCTTCCAAACCCAGGAGGAGACATCACTGCCCACAGTTTTCCCTTTGCCGGCTGCCTCTAGGACGGGCTGGACCTCAGCTGGGGTGGGCTGAGGAGCAGAGGGTCAACTGCGTACCTCGGCCCCAGCGCTCAGCCGGCCAGGGGCCCCCCCAGCTCTCCTGCACTGCCTGGCTTCTGTCCCTCGGTCACCCGGAGGCGGGCTCCTCAGCGCAGGGGGCGGGGGAGGGGCTGAGATGGGGTGTGCTGTCCCTGTGGGTCTCTGCAGGGCAGACTCCATCCTCGGGAGCAAGTTGCCCTGACTTGGGAAGGGTCACAAGTGGAACCATTTTTCAGTGTGGGCCGAAATGTGCATGTGCAGACTAGCTTAAATGCATTCCACGGCCTAAATCAACCCACTGATTCAAGAAGGCACCCCTTTGCTCACCTCCTCTGCCCCCTCTCAAAGAGTTCCAGACATGTGCTGAGGAGAAACGGGTGCTCTTAACAGCATGTCATCCTGACAGCCCCAGCGCACTTGCCTGACTTTCTGTTCAGGTTTGCTCTCTGCTGAGAGGTCCTGTGCTGCCACCTGGTGGAACAAACGGGGAAGTGCCTCATGTGCCTCATGTGCCCCCGTGATGACCACAGCACTCCGGTTCCATCATTTCTCCTTAGGGCAGATGCCCAGGGACAGTTAAGACACCCTCCCAGGCTTCCCTTGCTGTGCTGCCCGCCTCACCAAAGCTTCGCTAAGTCCTCAGCTAGCGGTCAGCCTTTCGTGGGACAGATGGCCACAGAGACAGTCATCCCCGAGCCCTCGAAAAGCAGGGCAGGGAAGGCAGGGGGCGGGCGGGCAGAATGATGGAGAAGGTAAGGAAGGGCCAGAAAGCACCCACGAAGGAAGCAGGATGAGGCCAAGGAGCCAAGTACAGAGGAGACGTATCAACCAGAAAACGCTGTCCTTGGGATTCTCAAACATTTTCAGCCAAACAGAAAACAAATCCAAAAACATTGAAATAATACTGAAATGTATGTACATGCAAAAGCAAAATGCTTCACCTCAATACAGTGAGACCCGATTAAGTGAGGGCTTCTAAAAATAACAGGAATTCTTATTAGGTGCACTGAAGACCTCCCCAAAAAAACATAAGCATATCCCCAAATTATCATTATTCCCAGAAGGTGGGTTTTTTTCTTCTTTGGATTTTTCTATTTGTGGCAAGCTGCTTTACTAAAACTCTAAGGCAAGTTCTGTTTTTTGCAGTTTTCCTTGCCCCGACCCAGGGGGCCAAGGGCTCTCTGCCTGCCGTGGCTGGGGGAGGCCATGGAGCCAGGTGTTAGCAGCAGGTCTCTGGGGCGGGCCCTGGGGGACAGACTCGGAGGGCTGCCAGGGGCGCCCAGCCAGGGCGGCCCTCGAGCACCAAGTGGCCAAGCAAGAGCGCTACGCGGCCCGACAGCAGGAGTCTCAACAGGAGCTGCTGTGGACGGAACAGGAGCGCTCCCAAGCCCTGTGCGCCAAGAACCCTTGGGTTTGGGTTTAATTCACTTTCAAGAAAATAACGTGATAGTAACTGCATAGCAAGTGTGAAGTAAGATTGTTTTCTATTACCTATTTTCTAAAGTTTCTAAACTGAATCTGCATTACTTCCACAGTCAGAAAACAGATCGGCAACAAAACCCATTTAACAACACTCGACTCATGCCCAGAGGACCGCTGCCATCAGCGAGTTCCTGGGGCCCGAGGCAGCTCCGACCTCTGAGGGCACTGCCACTGGCTCCAAAGTCCCCCTCGACCCTGGGGCAGCCTGCAGCGGTAGACTTTACTCAAATAAGCCTAGGAGCATATGACACATTCTCTTTGTGGCTTCTTTTCTGACTTAGGGGGCATGGCTGGAAAACCAGGGAGATTCAGAAGGGTTTTAACGGCACCACCATTTAAAAATGAGTTTGAAGTCCTTTCTGGCAGCAGGCTCACTTTAAGTGAATACCAACACATCTATTTTGAAAGCGTGTGAGGTCAGCGGGGGGGGATGCTTTACACAAAGCCATCCCAACCCGATACCTCCTGTTTGCACAGTGTCCTTCTAAGACAAGATTTTCCCTTCCTGACTCAGTTTGGAGAAGGTGAAAATCACGCTCGGGGTGGAAATGGCAGGAGTCATTTTATAATAAGCCGCAGTCACCCCCGCCAACCCTCCTTAGATAACGGGTCTCTGTGTTCCCACCTGCCTCCCCGCCAAGCCACCCCTGGGCTCTCCCCCAGCCGGGCCCCCCAGCCACTCCGGAGGCACGCCCTTCATCCCCCACCTCCAGGCAGTGCCTGGGCAAGTGGCTGCCAGGAGGGCTGGGCAGCACAGGAAGGGCATGAGCAGACTTGCCTTTTCCATCTGTTGCGGATGCTTCCTGTAAATGCCTGATTGACCTAAAAACAAACATTCGGAGAGCAAAGGGTCAGCTCACAGATTTGTACTCCCCTCTATTCCCACGGCAGGTCACCAAGGCCTCGAATTCCCAGGTTACCAACAGGGAGGCTACACTAGGAGGCTCTGACACTCCCTGACCACGGGACCTCCAATCAGCACCGCTTCAGCGTGCACAGTGCCCAGGCCCGAGTGCAGAAGGTGCCCTCTGCTGCCCAGAAAAAGTCTGGCAGGGCTTGGGCAAGGAGAAAATAAAAGACAAGCCTGACCCTCCAGCCTCCCATTCCTTTAGCTCCCGCCTCGGCCCCCACCCGACCCTAAGACAGTGGAGCGCCCCTGGGCTCGCTCCCCTGCTCCCCGGAGAGAACAGACCCCATGAGGCGACTTCTAAAGTCTGGGTCTGGGAGCTGAGAACACACGGCTTCGTGCAAACTCAGCCTTTCATCGACCAGGGATTCACACCTTTGCTGAGAAACGCAGGCCCCAAGGAGTCTTCTCCGGCTGGGGTGTGCTGGGAACTAACGACCATCTTATGTTTAGGCAGGAGAACACTAGTATCGCTAAGGATGCTGCAGATCAGGTTCTGGGTAGAGCTGCAGGCTCCAGGGGCAAGACCGCCCTCCAGCAGCACAGCACAGCACAGGCATCCCTCTACTGCACCATGAGTGAGTCGTTTCTCACCCCCCCCCACCCCCCGGGTCTGCCAACCCCGGAGGCCAGGACGAAGCAGCAGCCACATGGGAAAGCCAACACTGAACCAACGCTGGCTGAACTGGAACATCTTTCTTTTTTTTTAAAGCTATAGTAGTTTTTAATTAGGGTGCTCAAAAATGACTGATTCCAGGCCCAGCCTGGAATAAAAACATTAAAAAAATAAATGTTTTTATGTAACAAAAATTAAATAGAAATGGTTTTTCTAAAAAACTAAATACACTGGATAAGAGTTAACAAATGGGGGTAAAAGCCACCTGGTACCCCCAACTCGGGTCCAAGCTGCAAACCAGCAGGACGTGGCCATCTCTGTCAGATTACGGCAGGGGAACGGCCACAGGTGTGCTCCCCCGGGCCTGCCAGGTGTGCAGCCGTGTCTGGCGTGGCCGAGGAGCCCACGGGCTGGCCTGGATGGTTATGCCGTCAATGTGCCCACCGTTAAGAGGTCAATATGTCTTCTCACCCACTGGCAACTTCTCCACTTCAGCCAGAGTCTCCAGACCGCCCACCACCTTTTCAAATACTGTGTATTTCATGTCCAAAGGCTGCTTCTTAAATCTCCTCTCCAGTACTTGATTTTCTCGTTTTACAGCGATTTTCGGAATATTTATCTTAAAGAATCTTGCCAGTTAGCATCTTGCTTGTTAGTGTTGTAACTAACAAGTGGCAGGAAGCAGTGATTTGCAGCTCTAGGGTGTGTCTGGGGCTCCCCAGTTGCCCCTGACCCCTCTGTGTCACTGGGTGGCAGGTGTGAGCAGAGTCTGACTCTGTTCCCTAATCACAGGATGCCTTCCCCCACCCCTTTTAATTTCTATGTATTTATTTGAGCCAAACTGACGATATATGGTGGGAAGCATGATTTCAAATGCTCCCAGGATGCTCTTTCCATCTGAAGACAATGCTGGTCACACTGTCACAGGTGCCTGCATTTACCTCCTCCTGGGCAGGTTAGGAGGGTGTAGGGATTCAAAATCTCGTTCGTACTCTCTCCTCTGCTGCACTGATACATGCACCCTCATGATGCACGATGAGATGAGGGGTAAGGCTGAGTCTGACTGGCTGCAATGAGGGTTATACTCCACTGGCCCCATGTTCTACCTAAATAATCAGAGTAAGTAAGTGACCTACACTCCAAGATTCTCAAAAGTATTAACTGAACTACATGGGGCACTGCAACATAAAGCACCTCAATTCTCAGAGAAATCTGCAGGAAAAATCTGTATTTTTTTAAAGTTTACTCCAAAAGAATTAACTGCTTCCCAGCAGCCACGGAACTCGATGATTAACACAGGAGAGGCTGTAGTTTTGCCGGCCTTGGCTCCTCTACCCGCCTCCCACTGAACCAAGAACTCCCTTCCCTCTTCACGAGGCCTGACGAGGGTATTTTCTCCCATCAAGCACTGACTGGGCGCCGACACTTCTTTCTGACCTACGTACGTGTCTACGGTCTGCTGTTTCCGGGAACAAAGCAGACCACTCGGAAGACAGCCGAGGCGTTTACGTGCTGAGAATTATCACTAGTTTCGTGTTAGTGCGCTTCCCCCTTTTCCATCTACCTTGGCAAGACGGGACTCGGCCAAACCCAAAAAAAAGCCTATTTGGGGGTTTCTTCAACCCCCTCCAAATCTGCGCTATTTAGGTCGCTGCTCAGTTCTCGGGTCCAGGCTCTTCTCTGCGGTCTAAACTGTGCTAAAGGCCGGCCACGGTGCCAGACCAGCTCTATCGACGTTCACTGGGGACCTGGATTCAGGCCAGTCTGGGACCCAGGAAGCTGTGCTTGTGACGCACACGCCCTGCGTGACTCCGAAGCTGGGAACGGCTGGCCCAGCTGCTGGGCTCCACAGACAAGCCTCAGGCACATGCGTGCATGACCCCCCGCCCCCGCACTCACCACACCACTGGGAAGAGGATGGCCCCGCAGCACAGCAGGTCCACCAGAAACAGAGAGTCCTTCCACAGGGCGTACTCCGTGGTCCCTTCCTCGGTGGACTCGATGATGATGTAGGCCACGTTCGCCAGGACCTGGAGGACACGAGAAGCTGCTGGGCCCACAAAGCACGGGCAGGTCCCCACGACAGCAGCTGCAACACGGAGTGGACACTTGGGCCTGAAGGCCCCCAACCCATGGCCACCGCAGTACCCCCATCCCTCTCCCACCAAGATGCCCCACTGCGCCCTGCTCCTGAGCTTGTGGCTGCTCCAACCAGCAGCGTATGGTGGGAGTGAGGCCACGTGGCTTCCCGGGTGGGACAAAGGACAGGCTCCTGCCTGGCTCTCTCGAGAAACACCAGATCCAGAGTGCTGTGCCTCCGTGTGAGAAGCCTGGCTGCTCCAAAGCAGCCATGCTGGAGAGAGCAAGCATGGGGGTGGGGGGCAGGAGGCAGGGGGGAGAAGGGGGGATGTCTGCAGCTGTGCCCACCCCATCTGATCCAGTCTGGCCAGCCCAGAGAAAGAAGAGGTGAGTGGAGGCCCTGAGGTGACCCCAGTGCTGGCCACTCGAGACAGCAAGTCAGACGGACCCAGTTCAGCTCCTCCTGAATCCAGACCCGCAGAGGCCGGGAGAGACGAGTCAACGGCTGTTGTTTTAAGTCACTAAGTTTAAGGGTGACCTGTTGTACAGCAGCGGCTGACCAGGACACTTTGCTTCTCAGGCATCCTGGCCTCGGCACTCCTACCCAGGCACTGTAATTTTCAGCCCGTGTGGCCACAATTCCTCAGACCCAAGGCCTCTCTGTGTGGGTGCCTGGGCTTCTCACGACAGTAACTCTTCCTAGTGCCAGATCACGTCTTCAGAGACCAGGGTGGCAAGAACAGCCGACCTCGGCCCAGTGGCCAAGGAGCCACAAGGCTCTTCCCAGGACTAACTCCAGTCCAGGTCCTATCTGCACGGGGCCAGCTTGGCTCCTCCCATGGAGATGCATCTGCCTGTGTGTGTAGCTTCCACTCCAAAAGGGAAGGCCTGCCGTGTGTGCAGTCCTGTCGCCAGGCCCTCGGCATGCTACGGGAGGTTCTGCTGGTGGCTAAACCGAGGTGGCTGCCTCTGAACACCTTCAAAGCTACTCAGCATGAGGGCAAGGTCCCTGAGATGCTCTTCTGAAGCCACCACAGGGCACAATGCTGAGATCATCGTCCCACCTCCATCCTCCACGGGAAGGCCCTGCTCCCCAATACTCTGCTTGACTTGCTGTCTGCCCGGTCGTTTTCCACCCTTTAGCGAAGCACGTGAATCCGCTGTGCTCTTACCGGGAAGTCTCCGAGTGTGGTTTCCCTTTCCCTCCAGTGCCTGCCAGTAGAAGCTGCAGCAGCACCTCCGTTAGTGCTGGTGCAAACTCCCGCTGACCCCGGGCTACTGGGTTCCTCCCGGGGCCAGAAAGCCCTCAGTGCCTGCGGCCCTGTCCCTGCAGGCAACGTGGAAACAAAGGCCTTCGCAGCTTCGATCCATGACTGCATCTTGTCCCTAGTTCACACTCTTCACACGAGAGATAAAACACCCTGAGGTGCTGGTGTGCAGCGATCTGCAAGAGCTTTCCTGAAACTCCGTTTTGTGCGCCCTTCACTTCTCACTCAGGGAGGCTCGGTGGCTCCCCCGGAGCCAAAACACAGCAGCCTGAACTTCTCAGACTAATGCCGAAAGCCTTCCCAGACTAGTCCCTATGTTTAAATACATGTAATTCCCTTGCATTTAATTTTTAAAGGCCCGGGGTCCTCGGAGAGACTTGCCCTGCAAGCCTGGGTGTCACCCCTCCAGAGGCACGCAAGCGGGGAGCTGGGGAGGCTTCGGCCATCATCACACAGTTCAGGCCGGGGGAGGATGTTCACTCGGAAGGAATGGCAATGACTGCTGGGGGGAAAGGGGCAGGGAGCAGCGTGGCAAAGCGGGAAGAGGACCAGGCCTGTCACTCACGGCCCTAGTGCCTTGGCCGGGAAAGTGGCCCAGTGGACAGCTCCTCAGCACCTCTGGCCACCAGGCAGCAGCGTCGCCCACTTCTGCAGCTGTTCTGTGCCTCCGCCATCTTTCTCTCCTTAAGCATCCAGGTGAAGTCCTTCTGCACACGAAGGCTTCACAATCACTCACACTTGGGTGATCAGTCTTCCCCAGGAAACCTTCAGCAACTGGTCTGACCAGGTGTCTAGCAGTAGCGGGTATCCCCCGTGACTGAACGTGAGGGGGCTCCACTGCCGAACCGTCCAGCACCGGAGATGAGTGGCTGCTCTGGGTGCCTCGAGAGCGGTCCTCCCTGCGCCTCACCTGCCGCAGTGCGCTGTGTTCCCTAGTGAGTGTGGCTGATGCGCACAACAACCGAGCAGATGACTACTGCACTTGGGCGGAGCAGAGCAGAGCAGCTGGCATGCCTGCCTGCCAGGGCCGCTCCATTCACAATGGGCACTTCCGTACTGGTGCCGCCTCCAGCAAGAGCGTTGATTATTACAAGGGTCCTCTTCCGAGGGGTCCTTGTGAGGGTCCTTGTAAGGCTGGCCTTGGCTCAGGAGGGGTTCATAAAGGCTTGCCCTGAGGTCTACTTAATATTCTACCTTGTGGAAACTCACTGGAGTCATTCTCAGTTTTAAAATAACTGGCTAACAAAATCACTAGGAACGTGAGCTGCTTTGCTGAGAGGACCACTGGGCTACAGGGCAAACAGCTGCAGAAAAGAAGGCAGCAGGTTCCCCTAACTTTCAGCAGCCTCTATTCATGGGCAGTGTCAGAGTCCACCTGCTGATTTCAAGATAACTGACAAGCACCTCCCAGCGCCACCACCTGAGGCCCAGGCCTGTCCAACTGGGCGGCAGAATCCCCGATGGCAGGTGCTGGGTTTTCTGGGTGGGCTGACCCCCTCTTCCAACAGGCCTGGGCTGCTGGGCACCGAGCCAGAACCAGAACAAGCAGGACGAGCGCCCATTTACCTGGAGCGGGATGACAATCATGAAGATCTTTTTGTCTTTATCGGAAAGGATGTGCTTAATAAAAGCCCAGCCGGTGCCGATGAGCGCAATGGTGATGAACAGCAGGGCCCCTTTCAAACTGAAAAAGAAAAATGTCACACACACAAATGGGTCTATTCAGAGTCATTCTGTGATTCAGATTCCAGAGCTCACTCTATGACCTCACACGCTTGCCAAAGATAGGTGGGTCCATTCAGGAAGTTCGCCTTACGTGAGCAACACTTTCTCCCAGACACACAAACAGCGACGCAGCCCACCACCTGAGCGGCCAGTCCCCTCAAAGAGGCAACCCCTCCCAGGGCCAGTCAACAGCCCCGGGCTCTCAGGTCTGGACAGCTACCATTGTGCCACACACCTCTGGCATGGTAGGAACCCAGACAAGTGGCCACGGGAGGGTGGGGCCCGCCAACGTGGGGCAGGTCACTTCCTGCCACAGCTTCCCCGACATCTCCTGTGTGTCATGTCACAGCACGCACACATCACGAGTCGCCACGTGTACTTACAGGTGAGTGATGTAGTATACCACGGCCCAGCCTTCAATGGGGAAGCCCTGGGAGGAGATGTAGTGGTAGTCGATCTGCAATCAGACAGAGCAATCAGAAAGGCCAGGGCCGGGCCACCCGGCTGCCTCGGTGCAGCCAACAGGAACTGCCACCGGGGGCCCCAGGCTGGCGGGTGTGTGAGGACTTGTGTGCCAGGTCGAGACGAAGTGTGTGAGTGCACTAACAACGTCGGCCAGGGTGGGAAACCTGACCCGGGTTTCAGTGTCCCCAAGGCCCAGCCCGGGTCCCTCTCTCGAGGCTGGTGGCTCACCCTGGTGGACGGCTGCCCGGGCTCCTCCTTCAAACCTCCGAGGCCCGAGTGCCACAGGGGTTCTCGGTATCTGATCAAGAACCTCATCTTCATCTTTCACACCCCAGCTTACACAAGTTACTTAGTCACTCAATTTTAAGAAAAAAATTATGTGGAATCACCAAGCTTAGAAAACTATGTTTTCCTTGAAAAAAATTTGTAAATTTAGAGCTACTTGAAGCCACTGACGCATTTAATTGAAGTGGCAAGTTTTGGCAGTGCACCTAAAATGCTTCCTGGCAGAACGAACAAAGGTAACACAGATTTCTTACATGCCTTTCACCCTTTGCAAATGGCTATCTAGGTAGTAAAGTGACTCAGGGATCCCATCATTCATTACTTATATGGTTCCAAAAAAAAATCTTTAACTCAGATCTAAATATGAATTATCCGAGCCCTGGCCCAGTAGCTCAGTTGGTTGAAGCATTGTCCTGATACCCCAAGGTTGTGGGTTCGATCCCTGGTCAGGGCACATACAAGAATCACCCAATGAGTGCATAAGTAAGTGAGACAACAAATCGATGTTCTTTCTCCCTTCTGCTCTTTCTAAAATCAAACAAAATGTTTTTAAGAAGTTATCCAAAGAATTGCCATGTCTTGCGACTGTGGCCAGATGTATCATTACTTTTCCCGTGACGGTGTCCTGCGGTGCAGAAGGAAAGCACCTGCCTGGAGGTGGGCGCCGGTGGCCCCGCTCTGCCCGCCACGGGCAGGCTTGCATCGGTCTGCACCAGGACTCAACACTCAAAGGCTTCAGTTCCACTTTAGGCCTCAATCCGCAAAGCATCAACGTTCTCTCAAGTACACTAACACTGAACTTCAAATCAAAGGTGAACAGGAAGGAGGGAATGGTGGGCAGACAAAGGAGTCCTGGAGACACTTCAGCAGGTGGCGCTCTAATCTCAAGAAGTGACCACAACCCATCAAAGTAAAACCAGTGCTCCGGGACAGCGCTGCCACCAGGTGTCTCCACCTGGAGTCGGGGGGGGGGGGGGGCTGTGATGCTTAACACCCAGGCCCGGTCCCCCCAGGTCAGAGGAGGCTTCATGGAAACGGCACCCTCCTGCCTCCCGCCTCCCCCCAAGCTGGCTTTTCCTGATCACACAGGCACCACACAGCATTCCATAAACGACCCCAAGCTGACCCCAAGCACTAACACATACCGCGTGGAACACCAACGAAAGAGACTTGGTGAAAGGAAGGGCCGCCATCAACCAGTGAATTTTAAACACATCATTCCTATAAACACAGAAAGACAAGAATGAAAGAAATATTCCACTGGGAGCAAAGGACAGCCGAAGCCCCGGGCACTAGACTTACTTATGTGGGGGCAGTAACATAACCTAGGCAAACCACAAACATGAGGCCCTCTTTTTCAAGAAAACTTTGTCAGCAAAAGGCCTTGAATGGGTCCTGGATTCATCCCCACCATCGAAGTCCAAGTGAGGGGAACTGGGTCATGCACGGAGGCATGATTGACCCTGCGTCCATGCAAATCTAAACAGGCTCCCTCCCTGGAAAGCACCTGGGAAGGGCCGCAGAAGCAGAAGCTGGTTGCATCTACAGCCACAGGAACCCCCAGGAGAGCAGAGGGGAGCAGGCTAGCTAAGGTGAAACGTGCAGCCCAGGACGGGCGCTTTGGAGCCAGGGGGCAGGGAAGGCCCTCCCCTCCTCTCTCCCCTCTGTGGCTGGAACCTGACAAACACACCAGGCCAAGGGGATGAAGCTCTCACTCAGGTACCTGTCCACCTTTGCGCCACTGAGCACTCAGTCCCTCTACCCTTTCCCATCTCACCCTGGCACTTAACCTAATAGGGTACACAAGGGTAAAACTCTATCAAAAAGTCCACAAAGACTTGAGTACAGGCCACAAAGGAAACTCACAGTCTCAGATATCAAGACATTCTGCAAAGCCAGAGCAGGAAAAAAATGTGGATGGTGCAGCTTCAAACAAATACATCAACAGAACAGGTATTATTACTATGAAAAACGGTAAGAGCAGTATCTATAGATACTACAGTTTAAATAAGTTAAAACTACACGCAACGTCAACAAACATTACTAAAAAGGGCGTAAGTTTCTCTCCACAAACACATATAAACACATCTGAGCCGGGAAGGAATGAGAGATGGACGAGGAAATGAGGGGAAATGGAAGAGGAGGGCCTTGAGAGACCGGCGGGGAGGGCGTGTCCTGAACCGATACTTGCTCCGTTTCCGGAACAACTTCCTTCCTGGCAATTTCCTGCCCCAGTGCCCAACTACTTGCAATCAAAAAAAGGAAGTCAAGGCCAGAGTCATCTGTCATGCCTGCACAGCACCGAGACCTACTCACAGGGCAAACTGCCCACTGTCCGCAGCGGTGCTAACATACCCCAGAAACCTCCAGTTGCAGTCCTGGTCAGAACCTCCCCGGCCAGGGTGTGAGGTCACGGGGCGTGAGGTCACGGGGCATGAGGTCATGGAGAGAACGCAGGCTCCAAAGCCACACTGAACTGGCTCAAATACTGGTTCTACCCTGAGGACCGTCATCTCTCTAACCCTCAGTAACCTTTTCTGAAAACGGGACAACACCTGCCCACCTCAAGGAGCTCAGAAGATTAGCTGAAACAAGCGACCTCGAGAGCCCGACTCAGACACAACCAGCTGCCCTGGCTGTGTGGACTGAGCATGGGTCCACCGAACAAACGGTTGTTGGTTCGAATCCCGGTGAGGACACATGCATGGGTCGCAGGATGGCACGCAGGAGGCAGCCAGTCTACGTTCTCTCTCACACCTCGATGTCTCTCTCCCTTTCTCCCTCCCTCTCTCTGTCTAAAAAGAAATAAAATCTTTAAAAAAAAACAACAAAACAAAACGACCGGCTGCCCGAGATCCCCCGCTTGCCCAGGACTCCCTGGCCCACACTCCGGGCCCTGGGGCCCAGGACAGAAAGCGGAGGAGCCCCCGTGACAGCGAGGAGACAGGAGACCTGGGGTCTGGTCCCAGCCGTCGGCCGACTCTGGCCATCGCTCTCACCTCCCCACTCACAGCCTTACTACACTGGGGCAAAGGCCTCTCAGTTCCTCCCAGTCCAAGGGCTGTGGGCCCCCGAAACGCAGCAGTGGCCACGGAGCCAGGTCCTGTCCACCTCAAGAACGCCCAACGTCACACACCTGGCTGTGAGGCTGGCGGGGACACAGGAGGTTGGGGAGGAGGGCCCAACGCACGCACGTACGGTAAGTGTGCTCCACTCCAACAGGAAGTTTAAAACAGGCTGCAGGTCCACCTCGTTTAACCGCAGGTCTGTAACTGCTGCCACAGCTTTTACGATAGGAGCGAGCTAGTGGCAATGACCGCTTGTCACTGAGTAACGGGCAATCAGACACCACTGAACACCTGGCCAGCGTGTGCCTCGTGCGTGCGCGGCACCCTTCTGTGCAGACCCTCCCTACACGTTGCCTAAAGCGCTCAGGCTCCCAGGGAGGCGGGGACAACTGTCACCATCTCGGCTCTGTGGCGCAGGAAAAGGGCCCGGTGCAAGGCAAGGCACACAGTGGTGACGATCAGCATTCACACGTGACACCAGGTCTCAGACTGTGAGTTTGCACTTAATGGCTGCAGGTCGTCTGGTGCAAACCTGACTAGGTCGGCCATTCGCAGGCAGCAAAGGCTCTTCCCGCCCGATGGGCGTGAAGGATGTGACCACAGACGGGAGCCTGCTGCCAGCTGAGCACACCCTCGGCCACACCGGCCACGAGAGAGGAAGGAGGTGTCAGCTTCTGCCCAATGCTCCACACCAGGAGGCATTTGGGATTCTTAGTTACTACATAAATTTACATTAATCCGAATTACAGTGCATATTCACACACCATCGTTTAGTTACTGGGCTTACCCTGTAACAAACACTTCGCACTGTCCTTTCGCTGCCAACTTCTGGGGAAGAGAGACAACTGTGCACTCGCTCCACATACACGCGGCTGGTCCCCTCAAGAGCCAAGTACGGGAAGTGAAAGCCACAGGGGCTTCAGAAGAAGGGCCAGCAGCAGGCAGACGGGCTTGAGGAGGGCCCTTCAGCACAGAGCTCTGGAACGTCAGCAGTTCTGCCAGCCCAGCTCTGAGCGGAGGCCTTCTGCACAAAGCAGGAACTCACGCTCTCGCCCGGGCAGCCGGCCACTGTCACCTGCCTCCTCCCAAGAACAAGGAGCCCCTGACGGGGACCCAGGTGCTCACTCGGAGTCCTGCACTGTGGTGTCTGCCCTGCAGAAACACCAAGGTTATGCATTTTACTGTGCCTGTACACTGCTGAAATATTTGGGTTTGCCTTTCAAACAAAGCGCTGGAGAGTGGACGAACCCCAACACACGCAGAGTTCCTGCCCAGTCTCCCCGTGTTGCAGGGAAGATGCAAGAGAACTGCGAAGAGAACAAGATGGCCGCTGCCCGTGCCTCCCAGGGGCGAAGCCAGCGAGGGGCGAGTTTGCAAATCCCAGCACGCTCAGAGGGGAAGGGCTCGGCAAAGGAGTACTTTACCGTCGTTTTCGAAGGATGTGAATCCAGATGGTCCCAGAAAGGAAAAAGAAAAAGGCCATAGAAATGTATAATTTAGGGAGAGGAATTTCTCCTGCTGAGAGGTAGCTGTCAGGATTCTTCTCTATGATCTCAATCTGAAACCAACAGGAAATTAATTTTTACTTTTCGGGAACACATCACTCCATATCCAGCAACTTGTAACCTCAGCTGCTTGACTTAAGCCTAAGTGAGTGCGGGCAGGTAACAAGCCCCTCCTCGTGCTCGGGCTGACGGCACACACTCCCTCACTGCTTTCTGTCTTCTTGGCCCGAGTCCCCTGCTGAAGTGCCTGCCCACTGGCCACACTTTTCTTTTACTTTGCTTAAGGGTCCTAAACCCATTCTCCCGGAGAAATCAATGTCTCCCGTCTTACACTGCTGACGAAACCCAGGCGCAGCAGGCTCCCCCCGGTACTCACATCAAGGCTGAAGGAAAACTTGTCGTTAGACTGTACTTTGGGTCCAAGGCATTTGTGGAAAAAAAGACTGTAGAGGCCTTCTTGGTCATCGGTGCTGATGTGAAAGGAAAACTGAAAGTGAAGAGGAAAAAGATTAAAGGGCACCCAAATCCACAGCCAGATTTTGAATAAGTTATAAAAAAAATCACGAACACTATTCTGAAAAGAAGAAAAGAGAGGCTACTTAAAAAAATCTAATTCTTGACCTGGCTGATGTGGCTCAGTGGACTGAGCACCGGCCTGTGAACCAAGGGGTTACTGGTTCAATTCCCAGTCAGGGCACATGCCTGGGTTGTGGGCAAGATCCCCGGCTCGGGGTGCGTGAGAGGCAGCCACATACTGATATTTCTCTCCCTCTTTCTCCTTCTCTTCCCTTTCCTCTAAAAATAAACAAATAAAATCTTTTTTTAAAAAATCAAATTCTCCCAGAGCAGAGTTTAAACAGACATCCTCTTCTTCAAGGATTCCCTCCCGATGTTTAGTTACAGCAACTGTCGAGCTAACAGAAAAGTTGCCAGAACTGTATGGTGAATTCCTATATGCCCACTACCTAGATCCCACAATGAACGTTTCACTCTCTTGCTTTAGCACAGCTCTCTCCACTGGGGATGGGTTTTGGCAGAAGTCTGCAGAGATAACCTTAGATAGAGTTATCTAGTTTTTGAGGCAACATATTATCTTGTTCTTTAGGTGAAAAGTACTCCTGAAAAAGGAAGGAGGTTCATTTGATACCTGACAAGGTAAACAACCAATATTCCCTCATTAAAATTACACTTGTGATTTTAAACAATAGTAGATGCTGCATTTTCTACATTGAGATTTCCGTTTTTCATGTGTTTTATGTGTTCAAATGAAGTTCAATGTAAATTAAAAGACATTTACATATCAGATCAGAGAAGTGACTCTCTGGTCTGGTCTAGAGAACATTTTATGACATGTCTGAAGTATGCTGTCCAGGGCTACACCTGAGGTCCGTCCAGAAGGCATCTAGTGATGTAATATGAGAAACAGAGATGTTGACTGAAGAAGATACAAGACACAAGAAGCACTGTACACAGGACAGTGATGCCTCAGTCCCCTTTAAAGGAGGCACCTTGAACCTCAAACAGTTCTCCCAGTTGCCATCAGCTGCCCCATCATATTTTCCTGAATCTCATCAACGGTCTGGAATCTCTTCCTTTTCGAAGGTGGTTTTAGTTTTGGGAAAAGCCAGAAGTCTCAGGGCACCAACTCTGGGCTATAGGGGGGCTGAGTCACCTGAGTGATCTCATGTTTCACCAAAAAACTGCATGAGCCGTGATGCACGAGAGGGCGTGCTGCCATGATGAAGCTGCCAGTCACCTTCTGAATCATCCAAATAGTTTCCGTGGAGGGATGTTCGAGCTTAGAGCAAAACTGGATGCAGACTCGTTGCTCTACTCATGCCATCATTTTGAATGCAACGGTCACACGGTACACGTTTGCTCAACGACGTCTACTGCCGCCCCCACCACCCCCACTGACTGGCACAGTGAAGTCCTCGCTGCTTATGCATGTGCGTTCCAGTCCACTCTCCTTGGCTGCCAGGTTACACTGATGCCATGCAAACCATTCCCATTGTATTAGCAATGGCTGGACTTTTTGCCAATGGCCCTGTCAGACACAGAGTCCCATGCTTCCGGGGCACTCTGAGTGGGAGGCCTCGCGGGGTTGGAGAGGTGGAGTGGTGGGGACAGCCAGGCTGAGCTGGGTCGGGATCTGGGCCTTGTCACTTATACTGGACATTCATGCAGTTATTCATTCTCAAAGGTATATGATTTGATACGTGGTGAGTGATACCATCCACCTTGTAGGGCTGTTATGGAGAGAGCTACTGTATGTAAGTGACAGATACATACCATGCCTAAATTATCCCTAAATTCAAATTCCTTTAAAAATTCACCTTTCACATGGCAGAGATAAATTCTATAAAACTTTCCTCAAAGAAGACACATACCTGAAATGAAACTGCTCCATCTTTATTATGAACAGAAAAAGATTTCTCTTCCATCACCTAAAAAGACATTAACAACCTGTTTTAGGACGCTGGCAGAAAAAGTAAGCTAATAAAAATAAAGACTTGAAAGTTCCCTGAGCCCTGGCAGGTGTGGCCCAGTGAACTGAGCGCTGGCTTGCAAACCGAAAGGTCGCCAGTCCAATTCCCAGTCAGGGCACACGCCTGGGCTGCGGGCCAGGTTCCTAATGGGGGGCATGCGGGAGGCAGCATATCAACGTGTCTCTCCTCTCTTTCTCCCTCCCTTCCCCTCTCTCTGAAAATAAATAAAATCTTTAAAAAATTTATAAAACGAATCTACAGTGACAGATCAGTGTTTGCTTGGGAACAGGAGTGTGACAAAGGGGCAGGAGAAACTTTTTCAGCAATGGCGGCACCTTCACAGGAATAAGACAAAATTTATCAGATTGCCATTTCATTTTTAAGATTTATTTAATTTTCAGGGAGAGAAACACTGACGTCAGAGAGAAACATCGACTGGCTGCCTTTCATGCGTGCCCCGACCAGGACCAGACCTGCAACCCGGCCATGTGCCCTAACCAGGAATCGAACTGGCGACCTTTCACTTTGTGAGACAACACCCAACCAACCGAGCCACACCGGGCAGAGCTCAAATCGCCATTGTAAAGACAGCAGTCCCCGCCTTATTTGCAGGGGATGCACCCCAAGGCCCCCGTGGGTGCCTGAAACCGCAGACAGCACCGAACCCTGTACACACTGGGTTGTGTGTGTTCCTGCACACCCGTGCCCGTGTGTGATCATGTCTCAATTGCAGGTTGTGTGTGTTCCTGTACACCCGTGCCCGTGTGTGATCATGTCTCAATTGCAGGTTGTGTGTGTTCCCGTACACCCGTGCCCGTGTGTGATCATGTCTCAATTGCAGGTTGTGTGTGTTCCTGTACACCCGTGCCCGTGTGTGATCATGTCTCAATTGCAGGTTGTGTGTGTTCCTGTACACCCGTGCCCGTGTGTGATCATGTCTCAATTGCAGGTTGTGTGTGTTCCCTGTACACCCGTGCCCGTGTGTGATCATGTCTCAATTGCAGGTTGTGTGTGTTCCCGCACACCCGTGCCCGTGTGTGATCATGTCTCAATTGCAGGTTGTGTGTGTTCCTGTACACCCGTGCCCGTGTGTGATCATGTCTCAATTGCAGGTTGTGTGTGTTCCTGCACACCCGTGCCCGTGTGTGATCATGTCTCAATTGCAGGTTGTGTGTGTTCCTGTACACCCGTGCCCGTGTGTGATCATGTCTCAATTGCAGGTTGTGTGTGTTCCTGTACACCCGTGCCCGTGTGTGATCATGTCTCAACTGCAGGTTGTGTGTGTTCCTGCACACCCGTGCCCGTGTGTGATCATGTCTCAATTGCAGGTTGTGTGTGTTCCCGCACACCCGTGCCCGTGTGTGATCATGTCTCAATTGCAGGTTGTGTGTGTTCCCGCACACCCGTGCCCGTGTGTGATCATGTCTCAATTGCAGACCGGGCACTTTCAGACAGAAGATCTGTTCTTACCGCCGGTCTCAGCACCCTCACTGTGTGATCTTTTTTCTTTCCTTATTAAGCTGAGAACGTTCACCTTTTCACGTGAAGGAAGCCTCTCTTTGGTGTGTCTGAGTTGCCGGCACCACTACTCTGCACTCTGTAGCCATCGTTAAGTAAACGAGGGTGACTGGAACCCAAACGTGCACTGACAGCCACCCGCCCAGACTGTGGGCGGGCGGGCGGGCGGCAGCACGGGCAGCCGGCTCTCCGCTGTCGAGGAGCCTGCTCGCTCTGCTCCCAGCATGTGCCTTCACTGCTGGCAGGCCAGTGCCCGGCACCTGCCATGCTCATGTCCACTTCTGGTCTTTGCTGTGACAGTCTTCACCCCCTTTCTTCTCCTAAGCCCTCGGGACCCTACAGAGAGCTCCCCTCCTGCTCTGCTCACTGTCACATAAGAGCTACCTAACTCAACACCCAATCTGACTCTGAACTTGTGTCAGTGTGTCAACATCATCACCCCAAACAGTAGGCAGCTCCCTGAGGATCAGCTTGTCTGTGCACGTACCTGTGAATGTGTACGCACATAAACACATTCATGTGCACACACTGATACACACATACCCAGGAAGCTGAGCACAAGTGAGCCATTAATTCTTACCTTTGAATTCACTGTACTTCTTTTAGACTTCCCACTCTCTGGAAGTAGAAACATTGAAAAGGCATTACTGTAGGAGTCAGCTCATGCAAATATTGCATTATCATTTTATGAGACTCTAGCTTGTTTAATATCAAATAATTCAAACAAAAATGGTGAAACCATATGTATCTGATGTATAGCCATTTCTCTCTTTTTTAAAAGATTTTGTTTATTTACTTTTAGAGAGGGGAAGGGAGGAAGAAAGAAAGGGACAGAAACATCGACGTGTGAGATTCACAGCTGGTTGCCTCTCACATGCCCCCCACTGGGGCCCTGGTCCGCAACCCAGACATGTGCCTTGACCAGGAATTGAACCAGCAGCCTTCCAGTTCACAGGGAAGAACTCCCAGCACTCCATCCACTGGGCCACACTAGCCAAGGCATGGACAGCCATCTCTTTAAGATCCCCAAACAATTCCTGAGCTGCAAAAGCAGCAAACCAAAATTTATTATATTATTATAAATACGATCTACTAAACGATACTATTCAGCACCAACAGGAAACTCATCTCCAAACCCTCATTACGTTATTGCCAGGGATGCCATATGGAGTGAACACCCCTGATTTTCGAAGTTTAAAATAAACTGTTTAAAATAAATGTATGTGAGATTTGTTTATACGCATGGAAAAATTAATTTGCAAATATTAGCAGAAAGCCCACACTGTTCTCTATAGTGAGAAGAGTTGAGATCATTAACACCTTCTCGCATGGGGCAGAAAGGGCCTGTGGGCCGTTTTTACTGAAGGTGCTCTCCACGAGGAGAACGGGGTCTCAAACTCCCTGCAGGAAGGGGAGTTTCAGAAGGAAAAGAAGGAAAAGACTTTCTAGTTCATGGCTGGGACACAGTCACGGGGCCCGAGGAGCATGGGCCAGGAGATGGCGCGCAGGCCCCACGCCACCGCACAGACGCGGTGCTTCTCTGTCTGTGCCTTTACCGTGGGTTCCGGTTTTGACGAACTAGAAAACTGTGTAAATAATACGACAAACAGGAAATTATCTTTAAAGAACTCATACGGATTATCAGACAAACCCGACAGCTAGTAGACGAGGTGATAAATACAAATAGGTTAATGAACGTACGAGAACAAGTATAGCCCAGTAATAATAGTGAATGCAAACACAAGAATATGTTTTTTTGCCTTTCACTTTAACACACGCGTGTGCAAACCCACCCAGTACTGGCCAGGAGAGGGTCTTATGGGCAGTGCTCCCACACACTGGCTGATACGAGCAAATTCACACAACTCATTTGGGAAGGAACTGAAAATATGTGTCAATATTCTCAAAATATTCAGATCCTTTGAACCAGGTATTCCAACTCTGAGAACCCATCCTAAAAATGTTCTGTATATGAAGCAAGTTCTAGGAATAAATAAGCCTACTGTAGCATTATTTATAAACATCAAAATGAAAAGATGCCTCCTTAAAGGGAGAAGTTGAGCAAATTACACTATCCATTTAATGGGATATCTGGTAAGTGTAAAGTACCTTAAGTGAACAGGATGTTTATAATAGTAAACATGACTATGAATTTTAAAAATCAAATGCTGTAGACTTAAGAAACAAGCTTAGATAGAAACGTCCATTATTACAACCTTAACCCTAGGAGTGAGGAAAAACGATTGTTCTTTCTCCACCTTCTCCACATTCTCCATATTTTCTGTAATGATTACACATTTTAGCATAAAATAATGTAAAGATCATGTTTGTCTTTACTCCGGAACAAAAAAGGATCCACAAAGCCAGGCAATGAACAAAACGCTAATTTCCACCGCACATTTACCTTTTTTCTCGGTCTGGCTGCCCACTGAATCGGAGCTACCTCCGGCCTCCTGGCTCTGGCCAAGGGCTTTCTCCTCCTTGCCGACGATGATTTTCGGTAACTGGATACCCGCTTCTGGTGGAGATTTTAATTTCACTCTATATTCAAATAAGAAAGGAAGACAGTTCACAGTGATGCTATGGCCATGTAAGCGTGGTCTGCAGGCCCCGCCCCGCACTCTGGATTCACCATCTCACACGGTCCTGTGGTGCCGAGTCCAACCTCGGCGCTGCACGGAGGCTGACCAGAGGGGGGGTGGGGGGCGCTCGGAAAGGCTCGGGGCCCTGCCCAAAGCAGTCGGCTAGTGAGGGCTGCGCAAGGACCCAGGCAGTCTCACTCTAGGGCTGAGAGTCTTGGCACCCAGGCCATTCTGACGTAAATGCCTCCCCACTAAGTTACCTGTGATGTGTTCGACAAGCCGATGTACAAGGGAAAGGGAACGAGGGGGAAAAACGACAAGACGCTGGAGTGAAGTTGAGGGGAACGCGTGGCCGGGGCGCGGTGGGAGCGCTCCGCAGCCTGCCTACAGTGCGTTTCCTCCCTCGCCCTCCTCAACGGGCCCCACTTTTGCTCGCCCTGCCCCGCCTGCCCCATCTGCACAAGTGGCCGCACAAGTGGCTGGTGAGTTCCTGAGCCTGAGAGGACACATGGCCTGAGCTGGCACAATCAAGCTGAAAGGAGAAGCCTTCCTGTCCTTCCCTCAGCTTGACACGAGTAAGAACTCACTTTACTGCACACAGTTTCATGCTGCTCCCCCTTCGTGTACAAGGCTCCCTGTGCTGGAAACGTTGTTCCCGGTCTCATCCACTGGGGAAGCCCACTCACCAGAAGCTGGGCTGAGCCAACAGCTCCCCGAAGCCTCCCCCCGTCTCCCGCAGCTTCCCGGGCTCTCTGCCCCACTTCTCTACCTCTCTGCGACCCCTGGGGTGGCCGTCCTGTCTCCTTCGTCTTGTTTTTCACCTCTGGCACTCAGCACAGTATTTAGCAAACAGTAAATACTCAGTGCACACTGGCTTAACAACCACACTCCCCAAAGTTTACACTGGGATTGAACTGAAGGAATATTAGAATTACTTACTCACTTCTGGAGATGTTTAGGATTAGAAGGGGGACAGAGACGGACTGTTTCCTTAAAATACAGTAATTCACTTCTTCGTCCTAAGGAAGGAGGACCCAATTATCCGTCACCTTACTCATTCCCACCAGAACAAGAAAAAAGTTTTCGAAAACGAGACAAACCAGTGGCCCGGCCCCCACTGCAAACAACACAGCCGAGTGCGTACTGAAGCCTGGCGGTCAAAGCGGCCACCGTCTCAAAGGAACAGCAGGACAGAAGCAGAGTGTCCCCACCCGGTGACCTGAGCTCCAAGGAAGGGAGTGATCGGGTCCACATTTAAGGCTCACCAGGTAAGAAGAAAATCCATCGTTCTTTGTGCGGTCCAGGCTGAATCCGATCTGACAGGCATGAGAGGGAGAAGAGAGAAGTCGGTGGCCTGGCGCCAACCCTTCCCTCCTCCGCACAGAGAGAAGGCTCTTCTCCGGGCCGGGCCCTCTCCCTGTGTTCTTAGCATTTGCTTTATGAGAAGGGCCACCAATTACTAAAATTATTCAATAATTACACGTCAGGGGTTGAAAATAAAACTGTCTGCTGCCCGTTCAGACGCGTATTTTCTCCATATCCCGATGCTTCTTATTTCAGTGCGGGGCGGAGCTGCCACCTAAGACACTGAAAGGGCAAAGCCCCCGCACCCCGGAAAGGCACTTACCATGAGATCCTTGTCCATAGCTCCCTCCGGCTCCCTCACCGAAAGGCTGCTGACATTGACCATCATGTAGCCATCCTTGAAGAACCCAAAAGTGTTCAGATGAACCTTGTGCCTCACGTCGTCCTAAAAAGATTTAAGGTGGTGGAATCAGTAATACAAAGATGTTAACTTCATTACTTAACTATTCATTTGCCTGAAAAACTACAGTATCTGGTTCCCTGCTAGCCAACCAGTGTTTCCATACACTCGGTAACATACACAGCTGTGGTGCCTTCCCTTGTTTCAGAAGATGAGGATGACTCATCAGAAATTCAAAAGCTATGGACAGTTTTGACATAATAGCTGTCATTCATCCTGATGCATTTCTAACGGTCCAGACTCAATGGTCAGCTGGAATGCGAATTCCAGGGTGGGAGGAACAATGCTTTAGTCATCCTCGCCTCCTTCCTGCTGGTACAAGACCTGGCATCCAGCAGGCACTCAAAACCATTACCGGAGAGTGGGGGGAGAGTAGCCAAAACTGCTCTGAGATCCACGCATTTACCTTGTGAGTCGTGTGCAACTGGCTCCTCCCCCTGCAGGATGATGAAGGGTGCATGCACACTACTTTTCTAACCTATAATTCATTTTTTAACATAGGCTCATTTGCATCTAAAAATGATGTTACATATGATGTGTTTCAGGAAACAAAGCCTTATGCAAACAGAGTGCCAGATACCAGCCGGGTACAGACAGGATCTTTTGGGCACAGGATAATCCTGAGGTTTGTTGAAACTGAACCACATGAGCAGAGGCCTGTTACACCTGCTTGAAACTGTCTCAGAGGGGTGACTCCAATCCCAACTAAGTCGGTACATTTTTTAAAAGATTTTATTTATTTATTTTTAGAGAGAGGGAAAGGGAGGAAGAAAGAGAGGGAGGAAAACATCGATGTGAGAGAGAAACATCAGTTGTTTGTCTCTCAGCCAGGGACCGAACCCGCAACCCAGGCACGTGCCCTGACTGGAAATCGAACCAGTGACCTTTTGCTTTGTGGGATGACACCCAACCAAATGAGGCACACGAGTCAGGGTTCAGTTAATAAATTTCAGAGTGGATAAAGGCTAGCTGGAACTTTAAGCAAACATAACAGTCAAGAAGGTCTATGGAAGGAGCCAGGGCTCATACAGATGCTCTCACACCCTAGTAATCGCGAGAATCCTACAGGAAGAGCTCGAAGTTCACAATAAAGCTCTGTAATTCCCCTTCCCTCCACTTCCCTCTCCCTTCTATAAATAGCCCTCCATCTTGGCACACAGGCCTGAGTGTGCACATGGCTTGCTGTGTCTGCATGCGCTGGGTGGCAGCCCTTTCCTTTCCCCCGAATAAATCCTTTCTGGTGACAAAACACTTAGTTGAGGCCCTGACTGGAGAGCCACGCCCATCGAGGCTTTAAGATGAATTTGAGAACCTACTAGGGCCCCATCTTCTTGACTGATGCCTCCTCAATCCATAAGCCTTTCCTCATTCCTGACTCTGATGCTTTGAGTTTGGGCCTTTCAAAGCATGGGGCAAATGGACGTTGGACTGGTAACGGTACCAGTGAATACTTCTAAAACTGAAGTTCCACAAAGAAAGTCACGAGTTTCACATTGAGAATTATTTGCCTAACTCAGAATGCCTTCTATCAGTTTGCAATAAGCTAACAGTTATTAAGTAGCTCCTAAATGCAAGGCACTATGCTAAGCACTTTTCTAAAACTTACATTTGGTTCTTCCTCAATTTGCACAGTCATTTTTGCTAGTGTTTTTTCTTGCTCATATTCTTAAATTCCATCCTGTCTCTTTGATTTTAAATATAGCTTTTTCTTTCTTGTACAGTATACTGAGGCACTCCGAGGCTTAATTCTGTTCTTTGTCATCTCCACCACTGTTCACAGCAGGCTGCTTCTTTGTGTGAGTGGTCATTACTCATTTCTAGATGTGTGTCTCCTGGACATGACAGGCAGGCTAACCGCAGACCCCAAAGGCCCAGGAGGGGAGGCCATGGAGCGGATCTTCAGCAGAAAAACCATCAGTTGTCCTTTCCCCCACCACATGGACAGTTAAAACACGTATCTTAGGGGCACTGTGTTCCCTAGCCCACTCTTCTATTCAAGGCATAGAGCTCTTTGAGTCCCATATCCTGCGCTGAGGAGGGGCCTGGGGCTTTGGCTCCTGCTCCCCTCACCAGCTGTTCAAAATTCAAGGCTCTGGGGTCCAAGTTTCTGCAACGCTTCAGGGCAGCCCTGGCTTGTGTTCTTTTACCCACTGGAGTTCCAGCTCCTTCTCACCACCGTTTCTATTTTTTTGGCCCTTGGGAATTTCCCTTATTTTCCTAGGAGCCCAGCTATGCATTTAAAGCATGTTGGCCAGATTTCCACTTCCTGGTGGAAGAGTAGCTCGCAGCAAACCAGCACTCCCAGGGAGAAGTGGGAAAGCAAGCTAAGATAATAGAAGTCATCTGCTGGAAGGCCTTAGGGAGCTGCTGGGGAAGAAAGAAAGAGGGGGAGGGAGGGAGGGAGGGAAGCTAAAGCTCCCAGCCTTTCTTAGGACTGTGAGAGAAATTAACCCTTGTGGAAAATGATTTGAGTGACTATTTTCTCAATTCTCCCAAAGATGTTGCAAGGCTACTACCGTCCTCAATGCACAGAGTGAAACTGGTTCCAGTACACATGATGAGTGCGACAGGACATGTGAAGAATAATACAGATGGGTTGATTGCTTTAAAAAAAGAGAAAAAAGAGCTGTATGCTTGTAAGTATTTTAGCGTATCTATTATTCTTCAACAAAGCTTGCATATTAAAAGTATGCTTTTACCTTACAGATGGAGCCACTGAAAAATGAAGCCAGAGCTGCCATCCCTGAGGAAATGCCTTGCAGGTCTCACTCTTCAGACCTCTGGACATTAAAACTGGGCAAAATAACCTTCGGATCAGACCAAAAGCAGCACCATCTTCTAACCAACTATGTGCACAGGTAACGAGATCATGACTACCACGCTGAAGGTTTAAACCTTTAGAATTAGCATCCCGGCCTGGCCGGTGTGGCTCAGTGGATTGAGTGCTGGCCTGCGGACCTAAAGGTTGCCAGTTCAATTCCCAGTCAAGGCACATGCCTGGGTTGTAGGCCAGGTCCCCAGCTGCGGGTATGTGAGAAGCAACTGATTGCTGTTTCTCTCCCTTTCTTCCTTTCCTCTCTCTCTTAAAATAAATGAATTAAAAAAAAAAAAAGAATTAGCAACCCTACGTTAGCTTACCTGCACCTGTAGAAATGCCTTCCTTCTACCGCTGTAAATGGTTCCCCTTCCCATCGTCAAACGCTCCTCGCCTCCCCCCCCTAACTGGGATGCTCTGGGCTTCTGCCTGAACCAGCGCTTCGCGAATAGCAGTTCTTTTCTATCTCAAATAAACGCTGCTGCCTCTCGCTTTGGCCTTTAGTTTTTGGCTAAAAGCCATCAGGGTTTAATACTTTGGCAGAATCCCCAGATGAGAAAGGCCGCGGAGAGAAAAAGAAAAACGAACACATTCCTGCCACGCTCAATACTGTGGATCAATCTCACAGACACTATGTGAAGCAAAACAAGCCATCTTTAACGCAAGTGACACATTCCAACATGAAGGAAACAATCTATGGTGACAGAGGTCAGGACGAGATTATTCCTGGGAAGGACACACTTTTCAGTCACTTGGGAGAGGAGGGCCTTAAGGAGCTTCTGGAAATGCTTGGTAGCGCTCTGCCTGGTAGCGCTCTGCCTGGCAGCATTCTGCTTGGTAGCGCTCTGCTTGGTAGCGCTCTGCCTGGTAGCACTCTGCCTGGCAGCATTCTGCTTGGTAGCGCTCTGCTTGTTTGTTGAAGTGCTTGGCAAGCATTCAAACGAGTGTGTTTACGGAGCGAAAATTATGAGTTGATTGCTTTAAAAAAAGAGAAAAAAGAGCTGTATGCTTGTAAGTATTTTAGCGTATCTATTATTCTTCAACAAAGCTTGTGTATTAAAAGTATGCTTACTCTAATTTATCCAGCGTTTAGAGACTGTGTAGTGAAATAGAAGCCTGTTAAACAATTTTGTATACTCATTTAGTCCACCACAGTGTATATTTTCTAGGTTCTGGAGGGGAAATCTATCAATTGCAACCTTACAGCAGTTATTTTTTCCATATAAACAGTACATCATCCCTTCATTGTTTCTCCTCACCTTTATTTTATTTTTTATTTGATTTTAGAGAGAGAGAGAAAGAGAGGAAGGAAAGTGGGGGAGGGAGGGAGGGAGAAAGAGAAACCCTTTGATGCTTGTATGTACCCTGACTGGGGATCAAATCTGCAGCCTTGGCCTATCGGGACGATCCTCCAACCAACTAAGGTTCTTGGCCAGGGCTTTGCTCACTTTTCTACATCATTTCACTTAGTAATCCAGTGCCACTAAAAACACATTTTGAGGTGGTTTGGAATAATCATAAGCTCCACAAGTCTGCACTTTCATCACTTACCAAGAATGGATTTATGCATCAAGGCCTCTCCTACAATACCTAAGCCTCACTCAGCTCAGAGCGGTATCTGCACGAGGGATGATGACAAAGTTCAGAGGTAAAATGACTACCAAGGCTATACAGACTGAGATGCTGTCCCTCTCAAGAGCAGACCCTCGCCTTCCCCTCCCCTCCTCTCTACCCCCCCCACAGTCACACATCTCCTAAACTCTAAGGGTCCCCCCCGAGACTGGCAACCAGAGGAGCAGTGGACAGTGGCAGCTCATCCCAGGCTAACCCCTGAACCTGTCTCCAAGGGCCCCTTTTCCCCAACTTCTCAGGGGGGCAGAGCAGTTCTGTGGGCTCACTTCTCTCCTGTAACATTTCTAGAGAACCCAAGCAGCCCCGCCCAGGCTCTCTCCTGTTGCTTCTTCTATCCTAAGCCCTTCCTTGTTCATTGTCCCTGACTCCAATAAATGTACTCTGTCAATAAAAAAAAAAAGAGATTATGCAAACTTCAAGTGGTAAAGCCGGCATTTCAACACAGATCTGATGTGAAAGCCATTTTCATACTACTGTCCTCAAATCGAGAAGGTATTCATAATATTAAATGCAAATGAGATAACCCAGAAAAAATGGG